TATGTATATATATATAGTAATCATCTAGCTTCTGCTTTCTGTGGTGCATCTCCACAGAGTGGGTAGGGACTGGATGGAGCTTGCCTTGGGCGTGTTAAGCCTTTTAGAGAGCGGCACACTGATCAGTCTGTTGCTTTGGAACAGGTGAAGGGTGAGGAGGAGGAGGAGAACACCTTGGAAGTGAGAGAAACTAAAGTTAAGGGCAAAAGGTGAGTGTCACCCTCTAAGGTCAGTACCTAGAGCTGTGTACGGGTGTTCCACTGTCATCATCAAGCTGGAGCAGAAATACTACCCCAGTCCCATGTACCTGGAGATCCAAGAGTCTTGTTCCTGAAGAGATCCTCTGTACCCAGGCTGCATCCTGGGACACTGCAGAGCCAGGGAGCACAGTTCACACAAGCAGTCAAACCCAATTCCTGCAGCCCAAGAAGCCCCAGTAGAAGTCGTTCTCCTCCCTCAGGTGCTCTTCCTCGAGCCTTACCACACCTGGGTTTAGATCTCTGCACCGAGCCCAGCACATTCCTGTTTCTCACAGCCACCAATAGCTGCTAGCGAGGGGAGAGCCCTATAAGGGAGAAGATTTCTCTCTCAGATGCTCAGCTGTTCTCAGTTTCTTGTACTCAGTGCCTTAAGTAATGCCCCGTGCCTTTAAGGGACATCATATAAGAGAAGCATGAGAGCTCTCTTCATGCTCTTACCCCCATTGTCCCCTTTCAAAGCCTCAAACGATGGGCAGTGGTGATCACTGGTGATTACAGAGAGACTGTAAGCACTTTTTGGCTGGTTCCTCAGAGCACTGCTCTGAGACTGCGATGTGGGGAGTACCAGAGCACTGGACAGTGCTGCAGGGTTTCAAAAGGACAGTAGCTATGAGGTTGCCACCATAGACTATTTTCTGACGTATCTGGAGGCCTCATGTGATCCTGTTCTTGGGCCACCAGGCATAACTTGAAGTCTATTTGCTTCTGTCACCACTTCAGTCCCTCTGGTGCATCTATACAGGTTTGGTGAAATCTCAGTCCTTTCTGTAGATCCTCAGTCCAAAGCTGTGCCCATTCTCTGGCTGTTCCTTAGTTTCAGATCCTACGGGCAAAAAGCTGAGAATGAACAGACACTGGGAACAGGTGCTTAAGATGTTTGTGATTTGTCTTCTGGACATTTGCACATGCTTCCTCTGATTCAGATAATTCTTGTTGGGAGAGGAGTGGAAAAAACCCTGCTGAAGCACGCTTTATAAACACAGAAACTAGGGTGCGGAGCGTGTTCCCCATTCAAAATGAGAGCTAGATGTTTTTGTGAAGCACAGGAGTGTAATTGTGCCTGAACCCGGGTCACCTCGTGCTGCCTCCTGCCCTACTTCCCCAGTCCTGAGTGAGCACATTCTCTGGAGTAAGACAGCTGCACTCCTTGGAGGAGCAAATAAAATATTTGACACAATATATATGATACATGGGCTCCCATCCACAGGAGATGTTGCAGGGGTTGGATCCAATTGTGCTCTCATGGGAAATCTCACACAACTTACCCGTTCTTCTCCCTTCCAGTGGAAAATTCTTCTCTGTGAAGCTGCCATCTCCTTTGGCACCAGGAGCCAAGATCCGTGTATCTGTTGAAATGGTTTTCACGCACGTCCTGCAGCCCTATCCCACCCACATCACCCAAAGCGAGAAACAGTTTGTGGTCTTTGAAGGAAATCACTATTTCTACTCGCCTTACTTCACCAAGACCCAAACAACCCGGGTCAAATTGGCCTCTAGAAACGTGGAGAGTTACACCAAGCTGGGCAACCCTTCCCGCACCGAAGACACGATTGAGTATGGCCCCTTCAAGGACATTCCTCCATACAGCCAGGTGAATGTCTGTGCCTCTGCAGAGAGCATCCTGCGAACATGGCACCTGCATCTCAGAGGGTGGAGGGTGGGGAGTGGAGGCTTTTGTGTAAGAGTCGCAGGTGAAGCCCAGGTTGTCCGGCACGTGGGCCAAGCACACAGCTCCAGCAAGGTGCTCCTGGTACAGAAGTGGTTGCTCACCACTGCCTGGTGTCCACAGAGCGAGCCAAGCCAATTTGTGCGTGGTTCTGGCAGGGGTGTATTTGCAGTGAGGCAGACTGCCTGTCTAGCCCCTTGTCTTTGTAACTCAGCCAGGCGTGACCCCTGAGCACGCTCCCAATACCCAGTGCCTGCCGTGAACTGGGCTGGCTCAAACCTTCCCGTGCAGCCAGCGTCACCTCCACAGTCTGTCCAGGAGGTTTCTCTGTGGGACATGGACACACATAATTGTGAAGGGAGGTTGCTGCTTCCTTCAGGTCTCATAGTTTATCTTTTTTTCCTTCTTAGGACACTCTGAAGGTACACTATGAAAATAACAGTCCATTCCTAACCATCACCAGTATGACAAGGGTCATCGAGGTGTCTCACTGGGGGAACATTGCCGTTGAAGAGACGGTTGATTTAAAGCACACGGGAGCGGTGCTGAAGGGGCCTTTCTCCAGATACGACTACCAGAGACAGCCAGACAGTGGGATCTCTTCTGTCAAGTCTTTTAAGGTTGACATTTTGCATAATTCTTTTTTTTTTTACTGTAGCTTGTCCCTTTCTTACATCCCCAGAGAGCAGAGGTACAATTGTCCTTTGCCTTTCCTGTGGTAACCATACCCAAGTTACAAGGGAACATTAAAGCTCTCATTTGTTTTCAGAGAAGGCTCGTGCTAGATAGGAATAGCCTTTGGAGGTAGAATTAGGATATGCTTTATTGCACCAAATAAACTGCACGTACGGGTTTCTCTATATTCCCACCCCTTCAACCTCAGGGACCCTCGAAAGCCCTTAATCCCTGTGCTGACAGCACTGCTTTCTGTTTCCCCACTGTGCAAGGACCATTCATTCTGTCCCCACCCTCATATTTTCAGAGTTGCCTTCTCTGTCATACCCTCATCATACTGAACACTGTTAATGGAAAACTCACCCATTCATTCCTTGCTTACGAGGCACTGGACAAGAGTTAAAGCTGTGGCTCTGCTAGCCAGATGTGAAAAGCATGATGTGTTTTCCTCTGAACCAAAACCTTTCTCGCTGCTTGAAGCCTGCAGGATTCATTGTTGTAATTCTCTGAGGTGGCGCAGCCAAACAGAAATCTCATTTTGCTGAGCGTAAAGCCAGCACGTTGGGGCAGTGAGCTGGAGTGAAAAGGCAATTGCTGTCCTGGTGGGCATGATGAGATCCCTTGCTGTCTGGGATATTTGAAACTGGGCTGGAGAAAGCACATTCATTTTGAGGCCAAGTGATTTTAGTGCTGGCAGCCACTTCTGTTGCTGATTGCTTATAATAGCACAATTTTACCACTCGCTGCAGCTGAATGGCCGTTTTGTCATCTCTCACGTGGGAGCATAGTTTCTCGATACTTAACAGTCATTGCTGGTTTTGCCAGTTTTGCTGGAAGTAACTCGTAGTCCGTGCACTGACCCTTGCTTCTCTCTGTACAGACCATTCTCCCAGCTGCTGCTCAGGATGTCTATTACCGAGATGAAATTGGAAACATCTCCACCAGTCACCTCCTTGTCCTGGATGACTCCGTGGAGATGGAGATCCGTCCCCGCTTCCCGCTTTTTGGGGGATGGAAAACCCATTACATCATTGGCTATAACCTGCCAAGCTACGAATACCTCTACAATCTCGGTGGGTGGCTCAGGGGAAAGCAGCAAGAAACCTCTGTGTTTAAAGGTGATTGCTACACAGTAAAGAATTCAAAGCTGTGGTGAGCTGCACCTTAGCAACAACAGTTGCTAGATATTATTTCTAGAATCTGCAAATTCACCTTCTTTTCTGTGCTTTGTTCAGGTTTTTGTAGACATCTGATTAAAATATGTTGAGTGAGCTAGTGCCCTCTGCTGCACGATGTATCCATCTGAATTCCACTCTTGCTTCTGTTAGGAGCTGAGCCTCAAGGTTGCCCCTTGTCCTTTGAGGAATTTTAATCACCTTCTGGTCTGTGCTCTCTTAGGTGATCAATATGCCCTGAAAATGAGATTTGTTGACCACGTGTTTGATGAGCAAGTTACGGACTTGCTGACTGTCAAGATCGTCCTGCCAGAAGGTGCCAAGTAAGTGTCACTGCTTCTGCCTTGTTTCTCCAGCCAGCGCTGTGTAGGTGGCAGTTCTCCAGCCTGCTCTAGTAGCCCGAGGACAGTGAAACAAAATCATGACTGTGTATATGGAGAAGACCTCAGAACACAGCTTTGTTTCCTTTCAGTGGTGTTTAAGCTGCATAATTGCCCTTGTGCCAGAGGCCACAGTTGGCCAGCCGAGTCCTAGGTTACATCATCTCAAACACCATAGTGTCATACAGGACTGTCTGGTTTTATCCACAGGAATATCCATGTGGACAGCCCTTATGAAATCAATCGTGCTTCAGACGAGCTTCACTACACATACCTGGACACTTTTGGACGTCCAGTTATTGTGGCACACAAGAGCAACCTGGTGGAGCAGCACATCCAAGACATCGTGGTGAGTCTGGCCTCCCTGTGTGATTTGCTTGAGTAGTTGCACCTCTGAATTCATCAGCACAGTCAAAAGTCCTGCACTGGGTTCCAGAAATGAATATTGGCTGGACTGTGTAGTCAGTTCCGCTGCTGCCTGAGGAGGGGAGATCTCTCCCATAGTAACGTGGGTCACTGCTCAGTGTTTCCAACCTCTCTCCTAGGTTCATTACACCTTCAACAAAATCTTGATGCTGCAGGAGCCTCTGTTGGTGGTTGGAGCCTTTTACATCTTGTTCTTCACTGTGATTGTCTACGTGAGGCTGGATTTCTCCATCACCAAGGTGCTGTATGATGAAGACCCCCATGGGAGCATTAGGGGTTTGCTTGGCTGATGGTTGGAGATTTTTTCACACCATTAACTCACTGAATGTTCCCTGCCAACGGATATTTTACTAGATGCTTACATGGAGCCCTGTTGTTACGCCACCTGAGCATTGATACTCCTGCAGGATTTGAACTGGTGTGCTATGACTAGCCACAGTTTTCTTTCCAGATAAAAAGGAATCACCCCTCTGAGAAGCAAGGGTGTTCACAACTGTCCTTCTGCAGTGTTCTCACTTCTTGTTAAGCTACTTGTTGGGCAGACTGACTGCTGAAAGGTGCTTGCCCTAGTTGGTACTTGTACCAGTCACCTAATTACCATCGACTGACTTAATTGCAAAGGGAGCAGTTTCTGTAACAGTCCTGTGGCAGATTGCAAGCATGGCTCGATGCACGTCAAAGATAGGGCTGCTCTGATCTTCCTTCTCTCTTCTTGCAGGACCCAGCTGCTGAAGCCAGGATGAAGGTTGCCTGCATCACGGAGCAAGTGCTTACTGTGGTGAACAAGAGGCTGGGGCTGTACCGTCACTTCGACGAAGCAGTGAATAAATACAAGCAATCACGGGACATCTCCACCCTGAACAGCGGCAAAAAGTCTTTGGAGACAGAACACAAGGCCCTGACAAACGAAATCGCCTCTCTGCAGTCTAAACTGAAGACAGAAGGCTCTGACTTATGTGACAAAGTAAGAAAATCTTATTTTTTAAACTCTGCTTTTTGGCTCTGTCAAGTACACCAGGTGAGTTTTAGTGTGGGATTTACTTTCTGCAGCCTGTATTTTGTTTCCGTCTCTGAAAATGGCTTGATCCCTGCCAGGGGGTGTGAAGATCAGTTTGTTCTTTTTTGCAGTAATCTTGGTTATGCATCCCTTTAAGTGCTGCTGGTAAACAGCTGCTTGTGCTGTTTTGTAAACAGCCCTTGAACCAGCTGCCTGAGTACAGATTAATGCTGTTGTAACACACTCCTGATGCTTCTTGTTGAGCTCATGGCAGTGACAGGCAAAAATGGAAACTCTCCAACATGTTGCCAGTTCTGACACCAGAAAAACCAGAATTTTCTCCATCTCTTGTTTCCTTGCACATGTGAATTTGGTGCTGACAGGATTTTGGTAACATGATGCTTCTCAGGGGGCGTTTAGCTGTACCATGCTGAAAGCCATGGCACAGTGAGCACACACCCACTGTCCTTTCCTTCCTCTGCTGGATTTCAGCATTTACCTGGAACAGCCACTTAACCCCAGGTGAGGGGCACTTCAGTCCCTAAGGTCCATTCAAACAACCGCCACTTAGCGTGGTCTGTTGCTAAATCAAAGAGTAGCTCTGTCATTGCGGTTCTTGCACACCATTAACATGAGCTGTAGGGACACAACTTCCAGGTGTCATAGTTGTGATTTATCATGAAGCCTTTAAAATCTGTCATGAAACACTCTTAACGATGATTGCACCGTTCTTCTGCCAGGATGGCTCCTGGGTCCTCTGAGCACCTTTTCCGCACTCCTTAATTACCCATTCATGAGATACTCCTTATAATGTGATCCCAGAGAGAGGTGATGGCTCAGGAGGCAATATTCAGATACGAGAGATGTTTCCACTTAGCAGTGACTTCATCTTTTGCTCCAGCCCTACTATCTCTTTGATTCTAGCTTCTCTGGTTTTTTTTGTCTCCACTAAAACCTTTCTCACCCTACAAGGTGAGTGAGATTCAGAAGCTTGATGGCCAAGTCAAGGAGCTCGTTCTGAAATCCTCAGTGGAGGCTGAGCGGTTGGTAGCTGGGAAGCTCAAGAAGGACACGTACATTGAGAATGAGAAGATGCATTCCAACAAGCGTCAGGACCTAATCACCAAAATCGACAACATCCTCGACGCACTGTAACTCGCTGGTTTAGTGACCATGAGGAGGGGAGAAGTATGAAGGGAGATGAGAAGCCTGGGAGTGGATACACTTGGAGCCAAAATTCCTTCCCAGCAAAATTAGGGGAAAAGTTGATGCGAGGTGCATGAAAGTACATTTTCTTAGATGTTTCTGTAGAGCCTGTCTGCTCAGTGGCATGTGCTGTGCAAGGGACCACAACATGATGCTGTTTGTCTGGGTATTGGGGTTTCTTTACCAGAGGTGAGACCTGGTCAGGCTGTAAAACAGTCTCCTGCTTTCAATTTTCCCTGTGTAGCTGTGCCCTGACTAAACGCACAGAAACAGCCAGCCTGAGCACAGACATGTTCATGGCAAATCTGAGTGTCACACCTCCAGAAAGAATAAAAGATACTTTTGTTCTACTTTGAAATAAAACCACCACTGCCTTGCCTTCTGTGTTGTGCTGGGGTCAGAGGAGGGAGACGTGCTGGTTGGCCCAGTCCTTCCTCCAGCCGGGCGGCGCAGTTGCCTGGGGAGCATAGTACAGCCCTGACCGCTCCTGCTTTCCATCCGCTGTGTCCTTGAAGGCAGGGCCCTGCCACCCTGCAAGGCCCTCACCTGGGCAGGGGAGAGAGCCAAGCTCTTGTTCCTTGGGGCTGTGTGTGCACCTACACCCTTATGGGGAGGAAAAAAACCCAACATAACCCCTCCTGCTATCATCTCACTGAGCGCCACACGCTTTCGTGCTGCACATGACAACAGTCCCTGCATCCCTTAGGGTGCCCAAATAGGCTCTTTTTCACACCTGGATACGGTGAAGCGTGCATACAATTCCCTGCTAATTTCAGTCTTGTAAGCGTTTTTTTCATGTGCCTCCCTGCTTCAGGGCTCTCCTAAACACCCCAGAGCTTACTGCAAGGATGGCAATACAGGTTTTCGCCTACTGCATTTGCGTGGCTTAGTTGGTAACCAAAGTGGTTTGAGGTCCAAATCCAGAAGGGACCAGAAAAGAGCAGTTGGTAGGAGAGCCCTTTGTCCCAGGCCACGCAGCTTCCTACGTGGCTTTGTCGGTCAGGAGTGCTCTGCTGCAGGCCCGAGCCCAGGCACCCACCATGTTGTCTGCCAGATGCCAGCTCCTTCCCATTCCCACAAACCTCACCCTGCAGTGGGCTGCGCAAGTCTTGCCGCTCTCTGCACAGGTGCTACTGAGAGCCCTCAAGCCACAAGTCCAGCCTGACCAGGGCAGGGATTACCAAACAGCTAAAATCAAATAAATAAACCCATTAAGCCCCAACACACACCCAGTGCTTGGGGAGATAACGGGCATCCAAAGCCAGAGAGGCTGCCTGTTACACCCTGAGCAACAAAGGCAGGTCCGGGAGAGAAGAGGAATAAAACCGATGATCTAAGAGACACCTTTAACTTTTCATTCCTCCCAGCAGAGGAAGAGCAGTGCCACTCGTCCTTCACCACATCCCACTGCTGCCTGACTTCACAGACAGCCCAGACCCTCAAAGGCACAGTGGAGCCTGTTGTGCCCATTACAAATCCCTGAAGCTTGATGACATGTCTCTGACTTTCCCTTCCTATCCTGAGGGGCTCTGCTTGATCAGCACACACCTCAGCCCTCACAGCTGCTGGGCAGCTTCAGATCCTGTTTGTTTAATAGAAACCACAGCCACAGAGGCAGCAGCTATAAATAGGCAGGATGAACACAGGCAGCCCCAGCAAAAAAGGGCCTCTGCTCCCAGAGGAGAGCTGCCCCAATTCCAGAAGCCAAGAATAAAACAGCCACTGCAAAGAGATGCTTTGCTCCTCTCCGCACAGGTCCCTGCTGCCGCTCTCCCCAGGTCCACCCACCCCAAACATGTTCTGCCCCCCTGCTGCCCCTGCAGGGCCAGATCATGTGCAGGGAGGGGGCAATTCGAGGTGAGTGGCCCAGGAATGTCCCTGCTCTGAGGCTTAGTGTGGGTCATTGGGACGGGCAAGAGATGGCTGGGGAAGCAGGCTCTAACTCCTACACGCTTTTCAACTGGGTTACAAAATAGGATGGAGACACACGTGCTATGACAATACCCAGGGTGAGTTTTATGCCCTGGAGCAGTCCCTTTAACTTTGTATTGACTCCTCTGTGCCAGTGAACCTCAGAACTGTTTGGGGTGCAAGAAGACACCCCAAAGCACACAGCCTCCCTGCCAAGCCCTGCGAGAGGGACAGCTGGGCATCTGCAGCCTCTGACAACACCCCACCAGCAACACACACACCAGAGAACACTCTGAACAAAAGCAGCAGCAAAGCGACCTAGAGACCAGAGCAATTTCTAGATTCCTGCAAATTTACTCCTGAGAATAATGTAGAAAAGGAAGGGGAAAAAACACAGCACCTACCAGGATCCCAGTGTCTGCAGGAGCTGAGGGAGAGCCAAAGGACCAACTGATAGCAGCAAATGGATCAATTAGGGCTGTGGGTGTTTGCCAAATTTAAAGGGAGCAGCCACCAATCCATGGGGTGGGGGAGAAAGTGGAGAGGGCCATTGGCCCACAAAAGCAGCCAGCTGTCCTTCCTCTTCTATCTTCCTCCTCAGCTCTGAGGGGATCTGACTTCCAAAATCTCTCTCTTGTGGTTGGATTTTGCAAGCTGTAAGTGCATCCAAGGGGTTTTCAAAATGATCTCCCTGCTCAGACCTCAGTGACAAGCCGAGAAGCAGCCCCTTGCCAGACGTGTGTCCCAAGGTGGCCGCTGAGGACAGACTTCCTAGGAAGCTGACACTACAGGGCAGCCTGAAAGAGTCCCCATCAGCAGCTCAGCCTCTCTTCCATGTGGCTCAGGCTGTGCTCCTGCAGCCACTGCATCCTTTAGCCAGTGTCACCATGCTGGCCTCTGCCACCAGGGCCAGTACAGCAGGTCCTTGGTCAGGGCTAGCCTTGCTGGCACCATTTTTGGCTGGCTTTGGGATCCTCCCCGAACTCCAGCTGCTGCTTTCCAAGAACATCCCTTATTTTTTCCAGGCTTGGCAGCTCATCAGGCATGAGGAACTGGAGCCAGCAGGTTCCCAAAGCATCACAGCCAACACTGGGCAGGGATGTAAGCACTGCCCCTGGGGAATCCAGGCATGAGGGCTCCTCTTCAGCTCTGTGTGTGGCCTTCTAACCTAGAGCCCTGTGGGCAGAGGGAATCCCAAGCTGACGGAGAGAAAAGCTTCCATCTTCCTGCAGTGTCCAACAACAGTCAGGCCTTCAAGAGAGAGCAGAGAACTGCAAAAGGCCTTTGTCTCCGCTGCAAAAGGGCTTCGTCTCTCCTGCTCTGCACAGAAGCTCTTCTGGGGTAGGAAATTCACCTGTGATCTTGTTCAGAAAAAATAACTGAGGGAGGCTGTGAGGAATTGAGAGGCATCTGGCAGGGGGATTGTGGAACAGCAGAAGGAAAAGGAAGGCTCAGATAAAGGAGCACTTGAGAACCTCCAGCAGATTAACATCTCAGAGGTAATTAAAGCTGAGCCCTGCTGGGACTCCACGGTTAGTTTTGCTCTTGTGCAGAGTTCGCAACCAAAAAGTTGGAAGGGCTGAAATTTGCCTCCACAGCAAAAGGAACAAAATGAAGAGAGAAGGAAAAAAAAGCATACTTAGAAGAAGGAAAAGGAAACCACACAAATGCAAGATTTGCCGGCGAAAGCGAGCAGACATGATTTCAGGTCCCCAGCTCAGCGCAGGCACCTGCCTCGCACAGAGCGGCACGCAGCTACCCCGTGCCTCCCCACACCCCGCAGCTCCCCCTCTCACCAGGGTGCTACCTGCACTCGAATCTTCTGGGGTTCCTATGCAGCCAGAGAGCAACTGCTCCCTCTTTGACTTCTCATTTACAGTCCTTCAAGAGAAGCTATGGAATGGAAAACTCACCTGAGAGGTCCAACCCATCCAGTGGATGCTCAAACTCAGGGGCTGAGGAGAAAATCAGCTTTTATAGTCAAGTGTGTTGTAACTCCCACCCTCTGGCCCTCGCCAGCCTCCCATCCATCCTCTGTGGGTGGGGATAGCCCAGTATTATTTCTGTGCCATCAACTCTGTCTCCTCTCCTCGTGCTGACACCTCCCCTCTGCTCCACAGGGACTGACTAACCACCTTTTTTTTTTTTTTTTATTTAACCAAATAAAATCACCAGACTTCACTCAGAGCAAATCCTGCTTGGTCTGTGGTCGGCTCGGCGGGGGGGTGCCATGTCTCTGTATGCCTGGAAGAAGCATGTCCAAAGCACGTCTGGTTTAGCAATGCCTCTTCCAGCCAACCCGACCCCACCACTTCAGCATGAGGCAGAGCTGGAGCACCGCTGAGTGAACAGCCGTGCTCTAGTGCTCACCCGCTGCCTTCCAGCCTCGGGGAACGCGCACCCACACCAGAACAGGAGTTTGGGGTGAGCTCCCAGGTTAAACAGCATCCATGGTCTGTCCCCTTCATCTCTCCACAGACCATCCCCAGCAGCTGGGCATGACACCTTGGGTACCCCAGCATCCCAGTGGACCCAGTAGCCACCCCCTGCAGACAGACTTCTCCACATGCTTTTTCACCATTTCCCTCCTCCATGCCCAGTAGTGCTGCCTGGCTCCCAGTCTACCCAGTCTGGTGGCTACTTAGCACCATCCCATTGCTGTGGACCAGTGGCCTGGGGGGGCCCAGCTGGGTTGGGGTGACCCTGGGCTGTCTCTGGCTGAGGGGTGCAGAGATATCTCATACCCCTCTCGCAGCACCCACTCCTCCCTGCCAGCGCAGGGTGGGCCATGTCCCAGAGGAGGACCGCGTCCTGCCAGGCAGTACCGGGGGAAGATCACATCCCAGCTGGGGGAAATGTCAAGAGGGATGAAAGAAGATCCCCACGGCAGTGGCAGGGCCCATGGTACCACCGTGGCACCTCAGCACCTCCGCCACCACTAGGGGCCGACACCGCCCAGAGGAGGCTGCACCGCCATGCTGCCACCCCAGCCCACCCTGGCCACAGCCGGCCCTGCCGCTTGGGACACCCATTGCCACCCCAGTGCATGGGCCAGTCCTGGCTCAGGGTGGTGGCGAGCATCTTTCTTTCTTTTTTTTTGTTTGCTGTTGTTTAAATTTATTATTTTTTTTCTTTCCCCCCCTTCCGCTCCTCCTCATCCAATTTGTCTTCGAGGCTGACATGAGAGAAAACCCCAAATGACAGCGCCTGCCCGGCACAGTTTTACCACAGTATCCTGAAAAAGGCATCTGGTGAGCTGAGCTGATAGTGCAGGGG